ATATATATATATATATATATATATATATATATGTTATATTTATGCTGATAAATAAATAAAGGGAGACTATATATATACACACACACACACACACACACACACACACATACATACATACATACATACATATATATAGGAAGATATAACTCACATTGCCTTGCCAGGGCCCTCTGAGGTAGACAAGATCAAAGAAAAGAATAAGCAAGGGTGTCAGGAATGCCTTCATTGTGATAGGAAGTGATGGCTAACCTTTTCCAGATTGAGTGCCCAAAGCGCCCCCAGAGACCCGAAGACCAGCTGGTCAGCAGGAGGTGTGTGTGCATGCACAACAGAGCTGAGCTGGGGTGACGGCTCGCATGCCCACAGAGGGTTCTGTGTGCCACCTCTGACACAGGTGCCATAGATTTGCCACCACGGTGATAGGGTATAATAACAGAATCTTGAAAAGCTATCAAACCTGGGTTAGTTTGAGATTCTTTCTCATCCCTTTCAACTTTCCCAGAAATAAGTTGTTTTTTATTACTGTTTTTTTAATAACTGCTCCTTTTACAGTTCGTTCATCCCGTTTCCATTCCCAGGACCAGGTTTACATTCTTTTGAAGCCATTTGAAAGCTTTTAAAAAAGGGGTGTTGTGGGGAGGGTTGAACCCAACAAGTTTGAAATCCTCAACCTCTCAAAATAAAGTTTCCCACACCAACAGACAACATAGGCATTATCCCTTCCTGTTACAAGGAATGATAAGAGAAGCTTTGGAGAAAATGACTTGATAAATAGATAATCATTATGCTTGTGAGTGTTTATATTGAATGAATGGAGCAGGAAACACATTAATCCAATTCATTTCTTGATAAAGTTTCACCGTGGTTTATCAATTCCAGCCTAATGCATGAAAATTGTTTATGCTTTTAAGGAGAGGAAGACAACGTACTTACTAATGGCTTAGTAAATGGTACCAGTGACCCTGTAGATGATTCAAATAAAGATGTGGCACCAAAGGCTTCTCTGAGACTTAGTTTTCCTGAATATCAAAGAATCTCTAACCTCATTGTAATGCATCTAAGAAGATCTGAAGAAGGTAAGGACAGATTACCCTCGGGGGGGGGCAAGGTTCCCCCACTTTTGAGATCTGCCCTTCATTGGACAAATGATGTTAAAACATATGCAAATTTCCTTCATCTCTGATAGGAATGAAGATTTTTAACTATAAATCCTGATAAAACAAAACGAATATTACAATCTTTTTTCATGTGTATGGTTATTGATATGGGACAATGAAATTGGATAGTTCTAGGTAGTTAGAACAAGACAATTCACTAGATAGATCTAGATCAACAGCAATGTTCAAAGCTGGGAGTTTCAATTACCTTAAAATTGCTGTCTTTATAGGGAAAATTCCATGGCACTATAGATATAAGAATAGTTGCCAAGTTGTTACGTTTGAGCAATTGCATACATCCTAGTCTCATTATTTAAGAGAATTTACCTCTACATCCTACCTCTGGGTGCCTGCAATATTTCAAATAATCCTATTGCTACTAAGGTAGAGGAAAAGGAATTGAATTCTACATGAATAGCATTTAGAATGCAGATGACTTAAAAGTTCCACATGGCTATGCAAAAGCTTTATTTCCAATGCACTGTTTTATGAGTGTTTTCCTTTCGTGATACGCATCTGTTCAGTTCCTGTGCAGGCAGGGACCTTGTACGAAATGCTGCAGTTTTCATGTCAGCCATAAACATGCTTAGCCATGGAGGCACTCTGTTTTTATCAGACTTTACAAGGATATAAAGATAATTGAGATGTGAATATAAAGTATGCTAAAATTACATAACTGTCAAATGTATTATTAACAAAACATTCATAAAAAATATTTTTTCCTCATTGCAGAAAATGATGCTGCCTTAAAAAAGAGTGAACTCATCAACTGGTATTTAAAAGAAATTGAATCTGAAATAGATTCTGAAGAAGAACTCATAAATAAAAAGAAAGTAATCGAAAGAGTGATTCATCGTCTTACACACTATGTACGTACGCATAGAATCCAAGGCCTGGCCGTGTGTGTGTGTGTATGCAGGTCTTGGCGTATTTGGGTTTTTTCCCGTATAAGATTGAGAGTATCTTGGCGACGTTGGTCCCACTCGCCATCTTCAGGCTGGTGCCTTCAGCTTAGTGCTTGTATGAGCAAAGAACAATAGGCACACAGCCAGTACCTCAGCCACACAGGATTGCGAAACAGCCGACTAATCTGCAAACAATATATAGTTATATAGTTATATATCAATCTTACACGGGAAAAGACCCGAATAGTTTTGTGTGCGTGTGTGTAGGTATGCTGGTCTTGTTGTATTCGGGTCTTTTCCTGTATAAGATTGAGATTGTCTTGGCAACGTTTTGGCGAGGTCTCACTCGCCATCTTCAGGCTGGTGTTTTCGACTTAAAGCGTGGTTGGAGCTGCCGTCTTTTTATGAATCTTGGGGGGGGGGAGGTTCCGCCTACCAGACATCTGGAAACCAGCCCTAGTCAACAAACGAGCCCCACCCACCACCCAGGCCGTTACAACACAAACAACAATTGGCATACAGACAGCACCAATCTACCAATCATGATACAACCAACAACCACACAACCAATCAATCCACTTACTGAAACAAAGCCAGCGTTCCACACACCCCCACCAAGATTTATAGAAAGACGGCAGCTCCGACCACCCTTTAAGCGAAAACACCAGCCTGAAGATGCCGAGTGAGACCTTGCCGAAACGTTGCCAAGACAATCTCAATCTTACATAGGAAAAGACCTGAATACAACAAGACCAGCATATATAGTTTTATATATATAAAAGTGGCATGGCCACTTTTAGTGGCATGGGTGAAATGAGAACCCAGACTGTGGGGGCGATATGCTGACTCTGTAAACCGTTTAGAGAGGGCTGAAAGCCCTATGAAGCGGTATATAAGTGGAACTGCTATTGCTATGTCAAGTTGGTCACGCCTACCCTGGCTCCGCAAGGTCAAACAGAACCCTGATGTGGCCCTCAATGAAATTAAGTTTAACACCCCTTGATGTAAAGGCTGGCATTTACTCCTAGATAAACATAATTCTGTGCATACTTAGAAAATGGAAAGTTTTTCGTTTCGGGACAAATATATAAAAATGCAACATTAAGCTTCGTTAGCATTTATGCAAATTACACCTTTCTCCTGACTTAAAATTGCAACGTTGTAAATTTGGATGTATTCATAATATAGCAAGCAAGACTAAGATAGCAAAATATTAATTGCTACTTGGAAATCGGTCTGGGTTAAAACTGTTTGCGCTTAGTTTGATTGCACTTCAGGTCTTTTATAAACATGATCTGACCAAAAATTCTCTCTTTCAGGATCACATTCTAATTGAACTCACACATTCAGGATTAAAAGATTCCGTGGAAGTACAGAGCTTTGACGAAGACCCCTATCTTGTCGTTAATCCTAACTACTTGCTGGAGGATTAGAGACTGAGGGAACAGTGCTACAAAATCCATTTCATACCAGTGAGATAATAGCGCACTAGCTGATACGCATCAGTTGTAGATAGCTGACTAATCCGAGATTTATCTCGGAATTCGCCTACCTTGCCTTTTTAAGTAATCTTGTACAGATAAAAGGAGGAATTGTAAAACCTGGTTAAAGGAAACCATTTTTTAAAGCTGACATCTGCTTCTTCTGTAGTTTGCATTTTAAAAAATCATATGCAGTAGTTCAGTAATGCAATCTTACTCTGTAAATCTCTTCTTATTTGTGTCCAATAAATTAAAAAAGTTCACTATATATGCATTCAGTTTCAAAATGAATTGTTCATGCATGAAACAGAAAATACATTGCTTCATACTTTTGGAATAGCATTTTCAGGTTGGAATTACTAAAATAAAATATATTGTTAAACTAAAAACAGCCAGGTTTTGTTTTATGTTTCGGACAAAAGTTTTCAAAGCATGTACTGTATTTTTTGGAGTATAAGACGCACCTTTCCCCCCCAAAAAAGAGGGTGAAAATCTGGGTGCGTCTTATATCCTGAATACAGCATTTTGGGCCTCCCAAAACCCCGACCCCTTCACAAAAATGGACATACTTTGGGAGGCTTGTAGAGTGCTCCTAGGGACAGGGAAGGGCAAAAATGAGCGAAAAACAGACCGTTTTTTGCTCGTTTTTGCCCCCCTCAGTCCCCAGGAGCACTCTACAAGCCTCCCAAAGCTTCTGCATACCAGGTTTTTGTGAAACAATTGGCCGTTTTTTTGCTCTTTTTCATACCCCAGCCCCCAGGAGCACTTTACAGGCCTCTCAACTCTCTGCATGCCCTGTTTTTCACAAAAAATGAGGCGTGCAGAGGGTTTGGGAGGCCTGTAGAGTACAAAAACTTCTTTAATTTACCTCTTCAAAATCTTGGTCCGTCTTATAGTCCGAAAAGTACAGTATCTTGTTCATCTGATCTCAGATGAAGTTCAGGGGTTTTATGGTCAAAGCCTTTTTTTGAACCACGGGGGCACAGTGGTCAAAGTTCACAACTGCAGGCTACTTCTGCTGTCTGCCTGCAATTTGGCAGTTCAAATCTCACCAGGCTCAAGGTTGACTCAGCCATCCATCCTTCCAAGGTGGGTAAAATGAGGGCCCAATTTGTTGCAGGCAATATGCTGACTAAACTGCTTAAAGCGGGCTGTACAGTGGTATAAAAATCTAAGTGCTATTGCTATTAATTGTTTATTTAATTTCTATAGAATTAATAGCCTTTTGCACATCTCTATATATTCATCTTGCTGGATAAAAATCATTAGTCCAAACATCAATTTAAAATTGAATTTTACAGATGTGATACTAAAATATTACAATAATTTGGGAATAGGTTAATTTTGTTATTCTAGCCTTGATCAAATGGAAAGAAATTCACACACACTGATTAAGATGTAAATAAAATTTAATTTAAAGAAAACGTATGTGGTCCTGATAATCCAGGTTGGCCCATGCTACAAGGATAGTTTTTAATTCTTGTTCATGGCAAAAAAAAATTATCCAGGAAATCTCATTGTTACCTATTTGTGAAGGTAGGCTTTTAGTATTGAGAATACCAAGTTAATGTCAGGGTTCCAAGCAACAGTCCCAATGAAATCAAAATTCTGAGGCCTGGAGTTTCTTCAAAGTAAGAATTTATTACGATTGCCATATTGGCACAGCTGGTGAAAACCCAACCCTGAAGGACCCAAGGTTTTCCCCACCCAAATCAAAACCCAAAGTTTTTCCCCCCAGTTCACACATCTGTCACATGGTCCAATCAGGTTACAGTCCTCCTTTAGCTGCCTTTGGCCCATACCTTCCAAACACCTGGTAGGGACGTCCTTGGCTCCCACGGGAAAGAATGTTAGTTTAGCTACAATTCCCCCAGTTATCTCTATCCCCCCCCTCCCTTACATTTCCACAACAGCAACGGGCTTTCCTGTGGCAGCCCTGAAGACTTCCAAAATGGTTCCAGAGCTGACAGTTGAGGGAAAACTAATAGTTTCTGTATGTGTTTTAGAATGCAGGTGAGCTAGCCAGATGTAGAGGTGTACATCTGTATTGGTTCTAACCACCTTCTGGTCCTTTGAAGCACAATTTGGATTTTTTTAAAAACTTAGGGATGTTACTATGAATATACCAAGTATCCCACAAGAGTTAACACTGGCATTGTTGACTGTTATCTTTTCAACATCTGTCTGTTGGGAGGGGAGGTTGGTGACCTATGGACTTGGCAGTACATTAATAAGTAATAAGTTCTGCAACCTAAGTTGCATTTTCAATGCTTGCTTCCTACCTTTAATAAAAGACATTCAGATAATTAAATATTTCACGATGTTATTGTAGTACGCCATCATTAGGCACCTTTGTATCTTAGCAGTTATAAAAGTTAAATGTTAAATTTTATTATCTCTGATCTAATATAAATGCGGCAGGAGTCCTTGTGCTATAGCATCCACAGACATGGAGCTAATTTATAAAATATGTTTAGTTTTTCTCTCTCCTTTTTTTTGCTTTGGAGAAGACTGGAAATTCGGCCCTGGTCAAGGGCGTATTTTCATCGCAGGTCCTCTTTCCGTTGAGTTAATGAATATATTGAATTTGGAAAGTAGATGTATGGGAGAACCTACGCTTTATTCTGTAGAGGCTCAGCTAGATTGTCTTTGCCATCAACGGTCACTCACTTCTTTGTCATCACACTTTGCCAAGCTCCGTGCAAAAGGTGTGACACATTTTAAGGTGGCCTTGCCATGGTCTCGTATCCTGCCAGAAATGAAGACTCAGAAGCCCAAGAGAAACGTGGGATGCTACCAACAACTTCTCCGAACTCTCAAATCTGCTGATCTTCAGCCAGTTTTGATTCTGCATCAGCATGATTTGCCGAAATCTTTAGCTGCCCAGCTTGGATCTACCACTTTTGCCGATCTTTTTGCTGAATATGCAGACTTTTCATTTAGGACTTTTGGTGAATTGGTGAGCACCTGGATCACTTTCAGCCATTTGCCTAAAAATATCAAGGAATTACCTCTTGAGGATCCTCTCCAAATGCTAGTTTCAGCACATCAAAAAGCTTATAAAATCTACCATGAAAAACACTCGTTTAAAGGTAAGTATGAATAAATGAAACAATGAATTGCAATTTTGGACAAACACAAATTTTAGAGACGGGATCCTATAGAATAAGAGTGCAGTGCTCTTGTGAGGTAATGCCACATGTTTTAGGAAGTATCACAAAGTGGTATCTTAAGACTAGCAGAGTAATCTTAAAGGGTGAACATTTCAAAGAGAATCTTATCAATCTTAATTCAGTTGAATTCCTGACTTTATCATGCCTTCCTTAAATATAAGCTGCTTGTATTTTCCCATCTTCTCAAATCCATCAAAGGCAAGTGGGTCTTCCTATTTCCTATCCTATTCCCTACACACTACAGGCACAGACGAAAGCACACATCCTGCTTATATTTGAATACTTCACTAGTTGTCTAATCATTCATTCGTCCATCCATCCATCCATCCATCCATCCACTAGTGCTGCTCAAGACTTACCTGAAGACTCCTAACTACTTAAATACTACTTCTTTCTTTCCATACATTTTTCTCCTTGGATTCTTTTAACAATGTATTTTTTTCCTAATTTTCAGATGGAAAAGTATCCATTTCCTTGGACTTTATTGATAATCAGCTGGTTCTTCCAGAATTATTCATATCTTCAGTTTGGGTAATGTGTTTAATTTTCTTGGAATCAGATTAGTCTCCAACCTGTAGCCAGAAAAAAAAAAATTCTAACGTGCAAAACAAATAACACAGAATTTCCCAAAGCAAACGCAGCCCATTAGCAATTTAATGAAGCCGTTCTTGTAGCCCGTTTGAGATTGTCCAGAACCTAGCAAGCTGAAAAAGAATATAGCGCAAAACATTTTGTACTGTGCCTGTTGTCTTTATGGAATTCACAGCAATTAGTTATCATGGCCAGTAGCCTAGCTAATATCAAAAAGGAATATGACACTTTTATAGAAATAAGCCCATGAAATGGCCATTAGTTATAATGACACTATGGGAATACCAACCTTTGAAGTCTGGCCATTGGGGGGGTAGAAGAGGACTTTTCCATTCAGGTTAGCTGAGCCATTTCCCTAAATCTTCAAGTGAACTATTTTAGGAAGCAAGATATTGGATCAGATAAATCCAAGAAGACTTTAATATTTAATAATTTAATATCTTCAGAAGTGATCCTCTGTTTTTTTTGTTTTTTTGCAGTTGTTGTCTTCCATATGAGAAGGCATATGGAAATCATCAATAAGTTATCCAACTGAATGCATGTGCTTTTTTGGTCTCCATGGGGAACTGCAACTGATCACTGTCTTCACAGCTGAAAATTATATCCCATAGGAATAATGTTAGGATCAGGGGTGTCAAACTGGCAGCCCATGGGCCGGGTGCATCATGCACAGGCCATGCCCACCCCGGCACTATGAAGGGAGGAAACGTCGCAAAATGTCTTGTGACAGCAATGTGACACTGTGAGTTTGACACCTATGTGTTAGGAGGTGCCTAGGCCTACAGCTAGATTCAGCATAGCCACACCATAGTGCAACCTCTGTGTACCTTCCTGGCAAAGTAAAGTCCCCCTTAAAAAGAGACTTGATTGCTGGTGGTATTGTGTTTGTGTCCATATAGTTCTCTTCCCTCACTTGTTCTGGGATGTCTTCCTAGCACAGGGGTGTCAAACCTGCGGCCTACAGGCTGGATGCGTCATGCACTGGCCATGCCCACACCCAGTTTAGCAAAAGGGGGGGAGTCATGATACATCATGTGACGACACCGTGACGACGCGAATTTGACCTAATGGCAAATCATTGTGTTCTTGTAACTCAATTGCATTGAATTACATTGAATGATTTAAGCATTTAAATAATGCTTCTATTTTGGGGAGGGGGGGAAAGACACAGGTCTTCAAATTAATAAATAAAATAAAGTTAATATCCTATCCTTTAGAAGAAAATGTACCTGTTGGCTGTTGTACTTTGCTGTATGCATACATAACTTAGATATATTTTATTCAAGTTTGCAAATGGTTATTTCTCTGCTTTTGCAGTATATTTTTTCATCTTTACATTTGGAGGATGTAAAGTGGGAATAGATCTTTGAGATTTTGTGTTCTGTGCAATTTCAGGGGTTATGGATTTTTCTTAGATTTGCATTAGCATGCAAGAGTAGCTAATCCATCTTTAAAATCTGAAAATCAGGCATCATCGTGCTAAAATAATTCTGCTTCATAATTCGTTTTCTTTGTATAATGCTGTTATTTTCCTTCAGACCGGCCATTAAAGTATAAATGAGTGTTTTAAAAATAAACCTAGT